CAGAAACTAGGAGAGAGGCCAGGAAAACGCTCTGACAGCCCTCAGAAAGCACCAACCCTGCCAACACCCTGATCTTGGGCTTCAGCCCCCAGAACTGAGACAACAAGAAAGCCACCCAGTATGTGGTCCTTTGTTCCGCCAACCCTAGGGAACTGAAATCCTCTCCTTTACAAATTAACTCGAAGGAAGGCTGCCCAGCTGGTCCTAAGACCTCTCCTGGGGGACCTTTGCCCTTGGAGATGCTGAGGCTGTTGCTGCTTTCCCAGGGCTAAGCCTGGGGTTGGGGGCCCCCTCCATCTTCAGCTTCTAGCCCAGAGACTTCTCCTTGGTACCTTCAGTGCCTCCCCCACCTTCGGAATAAGGAAGAGAATTTCTGCTACTTCCCCTTCCTCTAACCCTTCCCCATGCACCCAAGTCCTCCTTTACGGCTCTTTCCCACAAAGCAGCTGTGCAGGCCTTGGCAAGCTGCCCGAAGAACTCCCCGAGTTCCCCTTCCCTTCTCCCCAAAGCCTCACCCTTAGTGTGAAAAGAACCTGCCCTCCTAGGCTCCACTCGGGGGGCAGGGGGGGGGGGAGCTGTATTTTCTTATATTTCCAGTCGTTTCTGGACCGATTTCCTCCCAGATGGCTTTCCTTTACTCCATACTGATGGAATGTTTAATTACTCATTCCAAGTGTATTAATTAACCATGCACGAAGCGCTGTGCTCGCGGCCTCAGGAGTGTCTGCGATGGGGAACACCTGTGCCTCAGGAAAACTGAAACTTGGCAATCATTTAAAGGTGACAGGTAAGTTCGTCCTTAGCCTAACTCCAGCTGATTTGTCTGGGTTTCCTGGAGGTTTGGACTGCTGAGGCATCTTGGGTCCATGGGACACAGTGCTATGAGAGATGAGTGACATCTGCGTGGACCAAGGAGTCAAGACCTCAGCAGGGGAAGGCAGGTATGTGCCATCCCTGAAGTACAGAGACTCAGATCTGTATTCAGATTCGGGCTCCATGTATCACCCAGTGAACTTGGCAAGTTGTAACCTCTTACAAGCTCAGAACAATTTAACCTCTGAGTTTCTGGATAATTAAATATTTTAACAAGTAAATAATAAAGCCAATGACTCTAGAACATATAGGTATTTTATGTTGATTGATTTTCAAGACTGGATATAGTGGGGTGAGGAGGCGATAAGACCAGAACCCAGTTAATTCCAGTGCAGTCAGAGACCTGTGGGAGCAGTAAGTATGGAGTACATGGCAACACAGAGCCAGCCAGAGGTCCAGAGCTGGGAGCTGTGGGGACAGCAGACACTGTGATGTCCAAGGGTGGCGTTAGAAGAGTGGGGCGTATTCGTGGGCCCATGGAAATGGGACAAAAACCCACAAAGAAGGCGGGGATGAGAACAGAGAGCCTTAAATTCCTAGCTAAAAGTGCCCTGAACAGGCCATGTATTGAACCTGCAATCCAGGCATGTGCCCTTGACCAGGATTCGAACTTGAGACCCTTCTGTGCATGGGCCGATGCTCTATCCACACCGGCCAGGGCTGCTTATTCGTTTTAGAGGGGGAGAGAGAAAGAGATCCATGTGAGAGAGAACACTGATTGGTTGCCTTCCGTACACACTGTGACTGGGGACAGAACCCACAACCTAGGTATGTGCCCTGACTGGGAATCAAACCTACAACCTTTCAGGTATTCAGGGCAATGCTCCAACCACCTGAACCTCACTGGCCAGGGCAACTGTGTAATTGAGTTATGCTGGTACACAAGCATCTTCTTCCTAATAACACTAATTAGCTATGACAAGTAACCATCTTTGAGCACTATGTATATATTTGATATACAAACTAGGCAGTCTTGACAGGCTCATATTCATACATCAAAGTAGATACTACTATTATGGGGACTGAGATTGCAAGAGCTAATCTGCCCAACATCACACAGCAGCAAGCGGTAGACAGAGCTGGCAAAAAAGATTTGAACTCAGCTCGAGCCTGGACACCCAGCACCGGACACTACACTTTGCTATAAAAGCTGGGCCAGGGAAGGACACAGCTATAGACTAATAATAAAGGGGCTGTTGATTGCATCTAACTCAAGGCTTTGCACACTTGAAATGTCCAAATGACATTGAAAGCATTCAGAAATGATTTGTTTTGTGGTCAATTAGCATTCATTCCTGTCTGAAATAATGAAAATCACCCGGCTGAACTGTGGGTCAGTTTTTCACTGAATATTGACATGTTCCTGGCCACACAATTTCCTTCTTTAAAAAGATTCTTCTTCATTACAGGTTACCTTTCACCCCTCCCTTTCCCTTCAGGAGATACTTCTCTGTAGGGGCAGATGCCATGTCAATAAAGGAAGTCAAGACTCATGGTGTTTGGTGTGCCTAACACATTCTTAACAAGATTACGTGGTGCAGGGCGGTTCTTTGCTTCAAGCTGGATGGAAGACTTCTCAGGTCCATGCAGGATCCGCTGGCTGGACAGTGCCTCCTGATCACAAAGGATGTCCCAGCTATAAGACTACTTAACTAACAGGCACAAGTACCTCCCTGCAAGCAAGTGGTAGAACCTAACTCAGTTCTAGAAGCAAACGAGTATAAGAATCAAAAGGTGGAGCATGAATATTTCGGATGAACTAACCTCTCTTCAAAACCCAAGCCAACAAGAATTCCAGCCACTTCCTTGGGCAATTCCTCATGCCAACCTTGAAAATTACTTTACGGTCCATGTTCACTTTTAGACAGTCTCTTTTAGGAGGAAACATGCTAGTTCTATTAGCTGGAACCACATAAACCTGCTGCTATTTGACCATTACTTTCCCCACAGAAATGGCCATTCCACATGAGTCAACCTAATAATAATCATGGTGATGTGTAGAATTCTCAAAATGTTTTCTACGTTTATTTTTCAATGTAAATGGAGACCGTGAATTTTAAGAATAAGAAAATATAGCACATACCAAATTCTTCATACATGTCTGTTGAATTTCCAACTATGTAGATCCTAGTGATCCGAGTCCTGCCTGGATCTGCTGCGCACTGGGCACGAGACGTCCTAATGTCAAGGTGAACCATTCTAAAGTTCAGTTTCACTCAGCTGGAAATAATCCAAAAAACCCACTTGATTGATATATTTACATTTTTATTAGACTTCTTCAGAACTGTCAACAATTGGACAACATATCAGGAAAAAAACACATGGAACAGCAACATCCTTTAAACTTGCACCGTTTCCATATTTACACATAAAGTTACTGTATATATAAAAAATATTTTCAAGGACTCATGGGTTTGGGGATATTCAAAAGACATTATTGCTACATTTCAATATTTACAAAAAAAGCCACAAAATAATTTCAAACATTAAGCCACTGCAAAGAAACATTTGATGTAAAAAAAAAAAAAATTATAAAAATATAAACTTTCAAGAATATCCAAGACAAATCTCTCAGTGAAGTGCCCCTGAAGTACCTAGACATCTACAGTTAACAACCACTTTTCTTACTCTAATCAACATCAACAGAAACACAAAGGAAATTTTCAAAGGATGGAGAACAGCGACAATCTCTTATGTTGACAACAAAACCCCAAAACCTGTTACCTTTGGAAAGGTGCGAGAGCATAGAACTCCAGTGCAAATGGTTACTTCCAGATACATGGCCACAGTTCTCTAAATGTCATCTAAGGGACTAGGAGGGGAAACTGTGAAGGCAGCATACCTGAATCTTGCAAGACAGCACACAAACCTTGCTGTGTACCACGTGGACCTCTTACAGTTGGGCAGTGATGGAAAAGAAGGTAAACTCTAAGGATAACATCCAGGCTAAAACCTAAAGGGTAAAGTTTAAATACGTTTCAGTGGGAGAGGAGCATTAACAAGGTCTAAGGAACAAGTACAGTATGTTGAGTATAAATAACAGTGCCTTAAGTGCAGGTGGATTGCAAATAAATAGGTACTTAGGCACTTGGCTTCCCATATGCCTCTACATAAGCTTTCGGTCAGCGTCTCAGGACAGCTAGGTGAAGGGAATTAAGAGCAGCCAAGCTACTTCTTGGGTACTTAAGGACCCTCTTGGGCTCAGGGCAAGAATACCCACCCCAAAAAGTTTGTCTACAAGCACACACACGTGCGCACACACATACACACTTATATAGATACTGGCCCGGTGTCCAGGACATGTCTGCAAAGGAGGCTGAATCTAAACTTTATTTCCTGCTACAGAAGCATACAAACTAAGACGGCACCGTTTCCTCACTCCTGCCGAAGCCATGCAGTGAATCTTTTTCAAATGGCATCAAGTCCATTGAGCACAATGCCATTCTGAAGCTAGTAGGCTTGTTCTGCAGAATCTATACAGCAAGTTCATCAGCTACAAAAGGAGATTTTTGTTACATTGTGCTTGACAATTACAATTTTTCTTTTAAAAAAAAAGCATGAACTGTGTCCTTCAAAGTTGCCTGTCTCTGGATCTATTCCTACACACAGCAGACTTGAGCCAGAGTTGTATCCAGAAACGACACCTTGTGGGTTTTCCTCCCTCAGATATATGAACACGTACAATTGCAGGATGAGTATATACACATGCAGGCTGGGGAGGCTCTCATTCCAATTCAGCTCCCTAACAGAAAACTCTGGTTAGAAAGCAGGTCAGTAGCACAAAGGCTCACGCTCAGCAGCAAGTCTTCATTCAGGTTCGAGGAGCATTTTTTTTTTCATGGTCTATGTCTCATTCCCAGCATGAAAGAGTAGGTTTCTGAAGCCCAGGTATGTATAGACTTTTGACCTTTGTCCTAATAATGTTCTATTTTCCACATCAAGGGCTTAGGTTTCAGCTTCTCATCTTGCTGCACCATCATATCATCACAGATGGTGACAAGGGCCGAAGGAGACTACTGCCATTTATTCAAATAAACTATCCCCCATACTTTTTGAACAGAAATTAGAGAAGGCTCAGAAAGGACTCAAGGTGTCTAAAGCCCATCCCACCCTCCCTTTCTCCAACTCAGAATTTTTTTCATTACTGGAAGCTACTCTGCTATTGGGAATATATGCAGTTTGAGCCCTGGCCTGGCAAGGGAATGGGGCTGATGACAAAAACCATCGGCTATGAAAATGTGCTCATAAACACAGGAGTACAGTGGGGTGTCCATGATCCTGGAGTAGGATGCAAGTCGAACGAAACAGTCATAGAAACCAGAAGACGGGGGTCGTGGTGTTGGGGAGACCCGAGGCCTGCGCTCTGCTTCAGGCGTCTTCGTGGACGAGCAGAGGCTGGGTGGACGAGGCGCTGCTGCCCACGGAATTGATCCGCACAGAATGGTCCACCACGATGTTCTCCTGGTTGGGGCTCCAGTTTGCTAAGTTGGAATAAATCTGAAGAAAACAAGTCCACAGTCAATACACTCGTCCCCACACCGAACACAGTGACAAAGGGGCAAGCGTGTAGCTTCAGAATCACAAATAATTTGAGGAAGACTCTTCAACAGAGTTTCAAGACCTTCGCGGCCCAAAACCGAATCGTATTGACAAAAGAAAATGCAAGTTTGGTTTTACCCCTCCTTTCCCCCAAGGCCTGATGATACCGAAAGTGATGGGGGGAAAAGTGCTTTTCTGCTAGGACAGGCACTACCTAACCCATTCCAAAGGTTTATAAATCTAGGTAGCTAACTACACCCCAAGAGCCAATCTGCTGAGAAATCAGTGGCCCTTCCACGGGTCTTCCATTGAGAATCAAGCACTTGGGTGGAAAATGCTGCTGAATTTGAAATACTCCCTGACACGGAAGAGCAAGCGTTAACCCAGAGTACCATGGGGGACACCTAGCAAAGGAGGGCCAGCTCCAGGCACACCACCCCGAAACAAAGCAGTTTTAAAAATCTGAGTCTGAGTAAAGATCCCTGTCTTCCTTAAAAGCAGAAGAAATAATGGATTTGGGTTTTGAATTCCTCCCTCCACAAATCACTGGGAGGCATCTCCCAACTTCAAACAACTTCATTCTGTCCGGCTCGTGGGCATGAGAGCTCTCTGCCATTTTCAGTCTATGCCTGTCTGAGTAAAAGGCTTTTCACTGCGGTAACAAGCTGTCTTTTCTAGGCTTTTATTCTAGTTCACATCACCCCAACCCTCCAAAGGCTGAATGGCCCTGACACATGAGAGAGAGCCCTCGAAGACCCATGAACAGTCTCTGGGTGGGCAAGGACACGTGCAAATCCTCGCGGAAACTCCCACCTGCACACTCTGAACGTCAAGCCCCCCACTCTCTCCACCACTCATCGCACAGCCTTCTTTGGCTCAGAAAAGGGGGACTGAGCAGAAAGAATTTGTTTCCTTTGCTTTATTTTCCCACCCAAAGTCCAATCTACAGCCTAAGCCAAGGAGAGAAGGAGGACATGCCTGGGGCCGAAAGAAGGGAGATCCTCGCCTGCCCAGAGTGTACTCACATGATTGCTGCTGTCCGAAATCTGCTTCTCAATCAGCTGAACGACCTGCTTGAATGTCGGTCTCTTTAGGGGATCAGCATCCCAGCACGTCTTCATTATGTCATACCTGCAAAACAAGGGCCTTTTCTGTTACTCCTCAATGCCTTTCACCTGTCTTCAGGGTATGCCATGCAATCATTGCAAAAATAATTCCAGGGCTGGGCAACCGGACATACTGAATGGCATACACTATGCATGAAATGCTGCTGAAAGTTTCTGTGTATTTAGTGACAAGAGGTTATGATAATAAGCTATAGCTATAGAAATACAATTGACCAGGGTGCCTTAAACAGGAACCAAGTGGCATTTCGAACTGGCCTACTTGAAAACCCTCAACATCTGGGTTTCTGTCTTTAAAAATAAAAATAAAAGGGGAAACATAATCTGCAGGAAAGTGTCTTGGCCCTTACATTTCAGCAGGTGCATGCTCGGGGCTCAGCATTCGGAAACCTTCCTTGATCATCTTGTAGAACTTGGAATCGACCGGCATCCCAGGGTAGGGACTGCTCCCTGAGGCACAAACAGTTTGCAAATTAGTGCTAATCAGAAGAAAGCAGGACACTGATAAAAACCTTAAGAAGATGCTCTGAGCCTATGAAGGTGCCTTTGGCAAGGATCATTTTACCTAAAGAGAACAGCTCCCACAGAAAAATCCCATAGGACCAGACATCACTTTCAAAAGTGTACACACAGTTGAAAATGCTTTCAGGTGCCATCCACTTCACAGGTAGCCGAGCCTGTAATGGAAGCACAACGGATTCAGCAATGTTAATTAAGCAGCTCCAAAAAGCTGAATAGAAAATATTCCTGTACAGCTTGTTCCTGCTGAGAGGTGAGGGTGAGAACTTGACTGCCCCCTCACAAAAGCCTTTTCTCTATGTGACTTCAGATGAACCCCAACCACCCCTGAAACGGGTGGCTCACACTCTTTTAACGATGGAGACATGGAGTCACTACATGGTGGTTCAGAGCACAGGCATCAGAGACAGACAGACATGGGTTCTAAGCCTGACTGACATTGGCCTTTGAGTGACACAGACTTGTTAGTTACCACTTCCCACAATAAGGACTACATTTCCCAGCTCCTCTGCAGTGAGGTGTAGTCATGAGACTCCGTTTGGGCTACTAAGTTACAAGTGTTGTAAGGAAGCTTTAGGAAAACCTCCTTAAAATCCAGTTGGCATTTGCCCTGGGCCCTCTCCCTTCTGTCCTTTCCTCCATCCTGCCTTCTGGATGTGGTGTGCCTGGCGAGTAGTGACCCTCTTGGACCATGAGGATTAGGGCTAGCCCCCGGGATGGTAAAGAAGGGGAATATTTGGTCCCTGGGTACTTCATGGAGCCTCCCAACAGGCCTGGCCTGCTACTCCTATACTTCTTTTTCCTTTCTTTGGGGTTTTCCTTAATATGCAATCAAAACTATCCCTAACAAATGCAGTGAGCGAGTCACTTAAATATCTGCATCTAAGCCTCTTTATCTCCTTCTGTAAAACAAAAATTCTGCGAGCTGTTCTGTGGGTTAAATGTGCCTGTGTGTCAGCACGCTCAGCACAGTCCTGCCCGACTCCCTGACGCTCAGAACTGGTCTGGCCTATGCAAGTAACCGATCATTACCAGTGGTTTATGACGGTTACGACTATTCCAAGGAGGTGAGTGGCAGATTCAGGGCTTAAATTCAACAGCTGAATTTCACATCCTGAATCCTTGCTGCTAAAACCAGGCCAAACTTTCCGTGACTATTCCTCTTAAAGACGCTCTGGATTTCTGGACCCTAATCTGCCATAGAAAACTAAATCAATCTTTCTCTTAATCCAGTTAGTACTGGGAACTAAGAAAACACTCTTTTAGTCTTTAAGTTATTTTAAGCCATAGGAAAAGAAATTCTTCCACTACCCCCACCCCACCCCTGAGATATCGTGCTAAAGCTCCTCTAGGGGCTTCTTAATCTGACATCTCACATGTATCTTGAATCCAGGTGCCCGTGAACTTGGAAGAAATGATATTCCTGTTTATACTAACCTCTAAATGAAGGTTAGTATTCCCTTAAATGATGAATGAAGGCAGTGAACACAGCAGTCTGAGCAGTGTCTGCGCCTTACCACCTGCAGTGATCACAGATACCTTGTCCTACTACAGTGCTCCATTCATCACCACCTGAAATTATAGTCGTTTTTAGACCCATGGCTAGAACACGTTATTCTGTGTAACAAAGCACGTGCTGTCATATCACAAATGGTACTTTTTAATATTTTGATGACTGCATTTCAATTTAACTGCTTTTCTTGGTTGTCTGACTTATTTTATTTTGTGCATGTGAAACAGAGTTCTGACAAAGGAGCCACGGGATTGGCCAGACCCAGACAGGAACCACCTCCCAGAAGTGACGAAGAACCATGCAAAACGGAAGGACGTCCAGAGAAACAACAAGATCTCAAATGACGAGGATATGAATTCTGGGCTGGTAACATTCTATGTGAGTTTCCTTGCTTTTCACTTGTCTACAAATTGTCCTTCCTCGGTAGCCTGGTGAAAGTGGCACCTGCGATTGGTTAGTTCAATGGACCTGAGCTGGAGTCCACAATATGGAAACCGCTGGGAATTAACCCATCCTTCTTGATTCCAACTAAGGTCTCTAACCCATAAGGAACTGCAGTGTCACCACTGTCATGATTTTTCTATTTCAAATAAGACAGCAATGAAACATCATCAGGATAATAAATGCCATATAAGTATTAGCCACAATCCACAATGTGCCCAGTTCTATTCCAAGCACTTTATATATATTAATTGATTTAATCCTCATTACAACTTTATGAGGCAGCTGCCAGTATTATTCCCATCAGGAGGAAAGCCAATATTCATAAGCGTTGGGTAATTCTTGCCAAATACTACACAGCCACTAAATGATGGAGCCCGATTAGAACTCAGAGAGACCGATCCAGGAGCCACTACCTTCTTCCTTCTGCCTTTTGCTGCTGTTCAGAGGCCTAGCCCTGGCCGGTTTGGCTCAGCGGTTAGAGTGTCGGCCTGCGGTCCTGAGAGGCCTAGATAAAGAATCACCTTATACTCTTCCTTCAAACAGTGCCCTAGGATGGAGAGAACGTGGTTTTCTCAACGCTCCTCATGATGAAAGCTAACCTCCGAGGAGACCGATGAGAAACGCATGCTCTGCTCAGGGGGTGAACCTGGCACTGTATCTACAAACCAGAGTCAAAGATAGCCAATCCACAGAGATGCCATAGTGACGGAGGAGAGAGTATTACTTTATTGTTGGGGAATAAATCTAGACTACTGAAATGGGGCTCGGAAGACAGGTGCAGAATATAGATACGGGACTACATGACTCCCCATGCTCATGGGGTACTGCTCTGGAAGTCCTGCGCTCTAGTCCCAGCCTCTACCAACCCACGTCATCTCAGGCAGACACCACTAAAACAGACTGCAACTCTGAAAGTGGGAAGCCAGTGCATTCTAAAGGCAAGGGTTTATCCTACAGTGAGAACCGGCAAGGAAAGAAAGACTTTGAAATAAAATCACGATGTTCTATAAACCAGTTATAACTTAGAAACCTATTTAATAAGCTCTCTATTGACTGTCAGATCCAACATGCTCTACACCCAATTCTGAACATTCCCTTAGATTTTAATCTTTTTCATGTGGCATGTCAATCTCAAAATGAAATTCTCCTGCTGTGACCTTCAGGTCCACATTTGTTTCACTGGAGCAAAATCGAGTTCCTTGCTATTCTCAGGCTATCATGAAAATTAAGGCTATTTCTGTTTCCTCCTCATGCCCCATAATTACACAATTAGACTCAGGAATTCTGTTATCGGAATGGTGGTTGCACTGTTCCGCATGCCATGCCCATTTTGCTGAAGTAGGCTTAATCTGACTGCCAAAGTGCATGACATCTCAAAGGTAGGATGTGCAATATGAAAATCACAGAAAACAATTCTTATAAAAACTTGTGGCTAAAATCCTTCCCTGGACTGTCAAGCAGAGAGTGGGTACTCACGTTTCCTTTGACCACATAATTAGAATCATTCTTGATGTCTCTGGCGAGACCAAAATCACAAATCTTTGTGATTCGACCATGAGTAAGGAGGATATTTCTGGCTGCCAAGTCTCTGTGAATACACTATAGGAGAGAGGGTAGGGAAAGAGCCATTTAAATTTACTTTAAACTTTTAGAGAGTGAAAACTATGTTTAATACTATGGTGCTGCTTATGTTATACAAATCCAATACTTTTGCTTTACATTTAAACTATTTGGTGCACCAAAAATAAGAGTCGAAATGATGATACTTGAATGATGCTCAAAATTTGTGTTTCACATCGTTAGGACCTTAATTACTATAATCACTTTCCAAAACCAACTTGAATAAATGCTTTCTGGAGACTGCTTTCATTCATAGGAAAATACATTAAATAGTCATGTCATATTTTTTACACTGAGAACTCATTTTGCATGCATCTCTGTGAATGTCTTTTTATAGAGTTTCTAAAATGTCTTTGCAACTTCAATTTGACATCTCCCAAGGACACAGGGAAGAGGCTCTTTATTTCAGCCATCCCATATCCTCTTTTAGTTTGGTAATTGTTTGGAAATGTCACCAATGACACGCAAGAGTCGGATCTGTGACCTTATCCTGTTCTGTTCATCCCACTTCCTAGAGAATTCCTCTCCCCCTTCCAGAGACCATGCTCCTTGTTTTGGTTCCATCATTCTCTTCCCATCCCAACCTGTTCCCAGTTGTTTATTCTTCTTTCTGACCCTTTATTGCCCCAATACTTTATAAACCACCCACGTAATATTAGTAGTCTGACTTCAATAAAACGCAAGTATGTGCCTCACCAGGCACTGCAGTTTCACGGGGTAGTCCCTGGTACCCCGCTTCCTTTTGCTGATAAAATAATTATTTATTTTCTAAGAACAGCTTCTATATTCTAAAATCTAAAAGGTTTAAATGAATTCACTGCATATAAAAATATTCATAGAAAGCTCATTTAGACAGAAGTGCACTTTAAAGCCTATAAATGAGAGCAGGAATTTTGAAGAGACAGCAGTTGGAACACGAAGAAACTAAATTTCTTTGGCTTTTGGTTACCACACTTCAAATGACACTCTGCATTCTAACTGTGGCTTTAAAATGCTTCGCTCTGGAGGAAAAAAGGCTCCTCTAAGAAGCGCCCCCACTCACGTTCTTCGAGGCCAGGAAGGCCATGCCCTTCGCCACCTGGTAAGAAAAGCTCAGCAGGTCTTCCAGGTCCAGGGCCAACTCATCATCGTCCATGACGGCGGGTGTCACATCTCTTTCTATGTATGAGCCTGTTAAGAGGAGAAGGATTTTCTTAGGAATTAAAACCTTAAAGACGAGGAAAACGAAAGACGGTGACAATGGTAACACCAAGGGTAATGAAGGAACTGATGGGAACTGGCAGGCCAGTGACTTCCCCAGTGCTGAGAACAGGTAGATGCTGAATCACCAAGTAATAGTCTCAATCCTGAGCTAGGTTACAAAATCTTTAGGAGGAGACGGATGTAGAGGATTAATACAAAAGTCTCATATTTTAATGTGTAAAATATATATTGAACATATTTCAATATGCAAAAACACATATTTGCTATGCTGATATTTTCATAGATGCAATAAAATGCTGATGTAATAGCCCATGCTCTGACCTTCGATACCCTCTCGTAACCCTTAACTGCCATTGGCCACTACTGGTATTGCCACTGGACCCTACTGTAAAGGAGACCTGGTCACTACCAGAAGGGTGTGACATTCCACAGTGGCATGAGGAAGCCTCTGAAAATGGAGTTCATTAATTGATGAGTACCCACCTATTCTCGCTGATCTCCTTTTGTCTGCCTTGGTTGGCACAACATACGAAACTCCCGGTTTCATGTCCATGTATTCATTACCACTGTCACTATTGGGAGAGACAAAATATCCATCAAATCATGATTGAATAGACTCGGAAACGGAGGGAGCACCCATGGGCAGGTTCTATCTCCGATTTTATTCAAAGAAAAGATTGCCAGGTTTGAATAAAGAAAATCTTGTTCAGTAAGAGATAAAATTTTAACATTCAACATTAGGGTCCAATCCCCAGAAATTAGATGGCTTAAAAAAAATGTTTTTATTGATTTTTAGATCGAGAGGAAGGAAGAGGGAGAGATAGAAATATCAATGAGAAACATTGATCGGCTGCCTCCTACACACCCCCTTCCTGGGGATTGAGCCCACAACTCGGGCATGTGCCCTGATCAGGAATTGAACCAGTGACTTCTTGGTGCATGGGACAATGCTCAATCTACTGAGCCACACCGGCAGGGCTTAGATGGCTTTTTTGTTGTTGTTGTTCAATCATAGGTAGTACACTTAGTTTAGAAACTTCCCATCCCTTGACACCAGAGATTTAATGGGAAAAAGAGCCAAAAAGCATTATCATACATTACTTCAAACACTCTAAATTATCCCCAAGAGACAAGATGAAAGAGACAAAGAACCAGTTTCTGAGATGTGTTATGAGGGAGAAGGCAGAGATCATTAACATACAGCAACTGATGGAAGAAGGTTTAAAAAACCAAGTTTGGTTCAGATAAACACCAATAATTTGGATGATTTTCTGAACCATCTGGACCCTTGAATCTGTAACATTTGGCTGGAGAGCCTTCAAGATTTCTAGTACTTCCTGCTTGTGATTAGCATAGAAACACCATGACAACTATCTCCTTCAGAATGTGTGGATGGTTCCAGTCCCATATGGGATCCCAAAGCACAAAGAACACCACACAGGACGGAACAATTTAGGCCATTATTTCAGAAAGTTAAAAAACATACATGGGACCAAGGCTCTAGAAATAAGACAAAGTGGTTCGTTTATTCATATAAAGCGCATATGCTCTGGAGGAACGAACGAAAGGTGGTTGGTACTGTGTTTTACTACGACTTGACAGTACTCAAGTTTATAGAATTAAAAAAATGTTAAAGCTTCGCCTGGGGTTTAAAACGTTAGCCAGAGGTACAGAAAGGGGCTTTCAGAGGTAACTGCCCATCAACAACATTTACTAAGATCTCCTTAGGGCTGGAGTTAAGAGGTTAGGAGACAAAGTCTTGCCATCACAAAATGTAGGGGATACAGTGCATAAAAAGGAGAGGAGCAACCCACCGCACAACTGCAGAAATACGAAGAATAAGGGATTGAGCATGAGAAGCATGATTTCTTTTGGGCTGAGTGAATCTAGGAAACCTTCTTTAGTGGTGGATCTGATCAACATTTGGAAAAAGGAGGCAGGCATTGCCCTGGCCAGTTTGGCTCAGTGATTAGAAGGCCGGCCTGTGGATCAGAGAGTCCCAGGTTCGGTTCTCACTAAGGGCATGTACGTCGGTTGCAGTTTATCCCTGGTTGGGGTCGTATGGGTGGCGGCCAGTCGATGTGTCTCTCTCACATCAATGTTTCTCTCTCTCTCTCTCCCCCCGCCCCCTTCCACTCTATCTAAGATATATACAGAAGAATGTCCTCGGGTGAGGATATAAAAAAAAGAGGCAGGCATGGCATAGAAGTTTTCTATTCTAGTTGTAAACCACACTAATTCTCTTTAAAGGAACCTGAAGCCCTTCACACATTATTTAAATTCAGAAGGCTATCAATGATGAAAGAGGAAAATAAGCTACAGAACTTCTTTAAATGTGCCTTTTTACAGCATAATAAGGTTTTTTTTTTTTTAAGGGTAAGGTATGTAGAAATAATTTAGAGGTAGATGGCAAGAAAACTATATCAGTTAGGTGCAGAGCTTCCTGCCATTGTGTTAAAGGCTCTGGAGGAGCGGTTCTCAACCTTCCTGGTGCCGCGACCCTTAATACAGCTCCTCATGTTGTGGGGACCCCGCCATAAAATTATTTTCATTGCTACTTCATAACTGTACTTTTGCTACTATTATGTCTTAGGTGACCCCTGTGAAAGGGTCGTCTGACCCCCAAAGGGGTCACGACCCACAGGTTGAGAACCACTGCTTTAAAGGAATTCACTGTGACAACTTGACAAGCTTATGTGTTTTCCCTATAAACAGCATCTCACTGTAAGATGCACCCAGTGCCGAGCTCCGCAGTGTAAATGGAATGACACACCAGAGCAGAAGCATGATAAGAGAAACAGGTATAGTGCTCATTCAGCTGAACAGAACAAAAGCGTAGGGAAAAAACTAAGAATGCATTAAAATATATATATATCAGCAGAAATCTAACACTACCTGAATCTTTAAAAGCACTATTTGAACTCTGTAAACTGATAATCACATTTAAATGACTTAATAATTCTGATTTTGTAACTCGAAGTACCTCAGTTTATGTTTTTTGAAGAATCAGCCTTGATTGCAAACCCTCATGACCCCAGAACTGCCTGTCAACAGCTATTTATGTAAATCAGTCTTACCCCAAAGAATCCTTTGAATGCAGGAGGTTCTTATAAAGTGCTGCTTCTGCGTGATCTTCCTGCTTTGAGCAAATAAATGAATCACGTTTTCTCCTCAAAAAATTCAAAAGATCACCATAGCAACAATATTCTGTAATGACCAGGGTAGGCCCTACAAGTATATAAGAATATGTTAGAAAGAGTTGAGATATACAGACAAATCCTGCCTCCCATAAAAATACCCAAAGGTGATCTAGGCCAGGATCAATCGGTTTCAATGGATAAGCCTCCTATTAATACTGCTTATTTAAAAAGCAGCATTACGTGGATAAAACTAAACAAGAAAGCCCGTTTTCCCCTAAATTTGTGAGAGGTGAGGGACCAGGTGTGACTTGTGGTTATACTATTATTGAACTTCCTACACAAACCCTTTAATTCACTTCCGCTTACACAGAGGGGCTCACACCCTCTTGGTAACATTATTATGGAAATGATGGCACACACTGCAGCGTAATAGGAAAACCAACCACATGGAAAAGCCAGCTGAGACCCATCAGAAAAATGGGTGAAAAACTGTCGGGGCATCACCTGGGTTCTGAGCACAACTAAGTCAAACGTTTTCTAGGTGTTGTGAATACTTAAAACTACAGCTCTGAAGTTAACAGGCAACTCATTAACTTGGGCAGAAATTTCTCATGAACAATTCATGATGTGGTAAAGCAACGTTTATGGGGACTGTTTTAAGAAATTATATAAAGCTGTCAACTTGACTGTGGAACTTTCCAGATCTCAAGGAACAGTTCCTTTCCCATGGCTTTGTTCCTTTCCACCAAAATGAAACCCTTCATGGGAGGTTCAACTCATGCTTCCAAATTGGAAACTTGTTCTTTTTTTAAAGTGAAGTGTTGCCCGACTGGTGCAGCTCAGTGGTTGAGCTTTGACTCATGTACCAAGAGGTCACCGGTTCCATTCCCAGGCAGGGCACATGCCCAGGTTGTGGGCCCGATCTCCAGTGGGAGGCATGCAGGAGGCGGCCAATCAATGTTCTCTCTCACCGATGTTTCTATCTCTCTCTTTCTCTCCCTTCTCGTCTAAAAATCAATAAAGAAAAAAAAATTACAAAAAAAATTAAAAGTGAAGTGTTTTCCTCATTTGGTACATATATGAGAGCTGGTAGGTTCAAAGGCCTATTTTTAATTGTGGTACGGAAATGAGTACTAACCCTTTAGTGACTAAATATGATTCAGCAAAATATAAATCCTGCAAGATAAAAAGAAACACTTTCTGGAAGAGATGAGACATTCTCGAGATACTCAGAGGTCAACACAGTCTATGGGATGTACAGACAGTAACTAAGGTTATGTCCTGGGCTGCCCCACCCCATGATGAAACTAAAATGTACATTCTTCAGAACAATAACCTGGGTAAAAATCTTGCAAGGAACTTATAACTAAGCAGTGTCAAAATCATATCAAAACCTCCCCCATTCTGGTCATCTGACAAGTGACAATGGGCCAGCTGGTGACAGTTTACCTCCGATGGTGCACGCGCCGAGAAGATTCACAATATTCATATGGTTACCAAGGTAACTTAAGACTTTGAGTTCAGACATTAGGGCTTCTCGTTCTGTTAAATGGGCACTCGCTAAAATGAGAAACATCTTATTTTAGCAAAAAAAATTATACACACACACACACACACCTTTTTGGCAAACTGATGTTGAACACATGCGGTCGCCCGAAGAAACTTACGTTTGAGCATCTTTACAGCCACTGTCATGGCTGCATCCGACTTAATCAAACCATAAGCTGTGGCCTCCACAACTTTCCCAAAAGCGCCAGCCCCCAAGGTTTTCCCTGCAGAAAGAAAGACAACAAAGTAAGTGCTGGCAGTGGGGTCAAACGACTGTGTCATTTTAATGTCAACAAAGGAATTAAGGACAAAATTTGTCTAGATACATTCCCCCATAATGTGCTTTATGCCAAATCTATCAAAGATGGTGACATTTCACAGAAAACCATTCTTGCTACAGGTGAAATAAAACAAAGGAAGCTATTGGGGTTCCCTGCAGCCATCGTTATGTGTTCACAGAAAGGTACTTGGAAAGCCCGTTTCATACTGACCAAAACTCAGCCTGTTTCTGGGAAACTCCCATTTGTGATCGTAGGGAAGTTGTGTTGGATCTATGTAAACATAATTGTTTCCGTTTATCTCCTCAACAACCTTCCACTGTACTTCATACATGGGTTTCTGGTGGGAAGGAGAAAGGAAAAGATACATTATTTCTTTTTTAATAAATTTTTTTTATCCTCACCCAAGGACATTTTTCCATTTTCTGTTCGGATAGAGTGTGAGGGAGAGAGAGAAACATCAACGTGAAAGGGACACATCAAGTGGCCACCACCCGCACGACCCAACCAGGGCCGGGGACAAACTGCAACAAAGGTACGCGCCCTTAGCGGGAACCAAACCCGGGTCTCTCTGGACCTCAGTCCGATGCTTAACGGCTGAGCCAAACCAGCCAGGAAAAGATACATTATTTCTTAATGATCAATGTTTCAATCATTAGAGTGCTCAGGGCAGAGAACATATAAATGGTTACCTGTAAGTATTTGTAGGTAAGAATCATCACAATAATGCACATTATACCGGCTGCAATCACAAAACCAATCAGCAAAGGCGTGAACAGGGTGTGGGCATGGATTTGTTCTAAAATGAAAGAGGAACGTGGAATCACAATTTCTCAGCAGGACTGGTTTTCACCACAACCATCTAGCACAGACCACCCACCTCCCACCTCCCAGCCCATGGCAGCATTCAAAGCGGTGCCAGTCTCAGCTGCTTGCCTTGGTTATTACCTTACTCTTGTCATTCAAAGGAATCTTTTAAAATAACTTTGAACAACATATTGTGGAAGAGAGTTTGAGATTTCTATAGCACAAAAATAATTGTATGCCATTTGTCAATGAAAAGGAACATCTGAATGAACTTTGTACTTCAACCAAATTCCCTCCTTTGACAACTTTTAAGAAATTTCCTTTATGAATGGTTTCTATTTTCTTCTTTATGCTTTCCTGTATTTTCCAAATTTTCTACATTGAGCATGAATCTCTTCCACAACTGAGAAAAACATTTTTAAAGTGCTCTTTTTATTGCCCCGTCTGGAAAGAAATCTATGATGAAGAACAATGTAAGAATTCTTCTCCTCATTACTCAAAAACTGAAAATATACCACTTTTGGCACTCGTCTTTGCCAACTCAGGAAAACAAAAACTGAGCCCTAAGAATGTAGGCACTCCGTTTCTTTGTCTTCTAATGTCATACCAATTCATCAATGTGTCCACAAGGATCATTTAACTTCTGTTAAGAGAGCTAGTCACTCATGAATCACATTTTAAAGATGTTAAAGAAATAGCTCACTAACATGACTTCATGAAAGGCAATGTTAACCTTCTGATCGTGTCTGGCAATGTGTTGAAATAACTGGTGGCAAATGGAATTTACATTTTTCAATTGCCCTAATTCTGTTTCTGTTTGGATGTAAGATAAATATAGCCCCCTATTTCCTTCTCTACCCATTGTTAATAAAAACAATTGGAAATACAGAATGCATTATACATACACACATATGTGGACACATACGTTTTAAATACATATACATGGTTAAAATTACCGCATATGTTGTATTAATAGACTAGTACAGAATGAAACTTAGTGAGCTTGACAACAGTACAGTGCAATGTAGATATTACCAGGAATGACATGACCAGTGATGGAATGGACTTAATATCATGATTGATATGGTAGCAGAGCCTAAACATCCCCTTAAAATTGGATTAAAAAGAAATATACCTTTGCTGTTACCTTTAATTGCAAAGTTAAAAAAGGCAGAACTCTTGCCCACATCATTGTAAGCCCTGCACTCGACTGAGCCGTTGAACTTGAATGCGCTGTCATCGATGGAACTCTGGACCACTATCTTTCCAAACGGTGACACAGAGGAGTTTTGCATCTGCACGTTCACCGGCCCAATGGGAACAGAACATCTGGAGGGAAGCAAACAACAGACCAGGCTGACTCCAGGAACACCTTCACTCAAACAACCTGGGCTTGGCATTCTCTTTGAACTAAGTGAGGGGGTTACAGTTGGAAATTTCCTTTGACAACCAAGAGTGTCTGACGATGAACGAGCACGTCTGTGGCACAGGGAGCAGGGAAAGGGCCATGGAAGAGAAGACAGAGATGAGGTTGTGGAGGAAGGGGTGGGTTTGAATCCTGACTCAAACAGCTATTCTCTGTTGACTTCTGACCAGCTACTTCAAAATCTGTAAGACTCAGTTCCTACAGATGTAAAATTGGGATAATCAGACCTACCTTGGAGAGTTAAACAGAAATGACTCAAATATCCTTAAATAAACTAATAGTGAAATGACGTATGAAGTGTTAAAAAGGAACAGTATGGAGAAAGAAGCACTGTCTCAACAAAGACGACCACAGGCAACCCCCAAAACTCCAGCAGCGAGGACCCCATGACTGGAGGTTCTATGCAGAGAGGTACAGGTTGTCCTGCCAGGTTGCAAAGACCATGTAGAGCCAGACCCTGGTGACCCTATTTAAATTACCCCTCCCCACCCCACTCCTGCATGCTTAACAGTTTTCTGTTCCTTACCTTGCTCTCTTTTCCTCCTTAGCACTAAACATCTGCCTACGTTGGTTATTTCATCTTTTGTCCATCTCCACCCATTAGAATATGAACTCACAAAGCTGAGGCTCAGGTGCTCGATACATTTATGCTGAATGGCTGACTGTAATTCCTGGGGTTACTTCCACTATGGACAGACTTTCCGGGTCTTGAACCAACCCTATTTTTCCCCAAAGAAAACACTCCACTAAAACTCAGCTGAAAACAACAATCTTATGTAACCTCTTTCCACTTGTTGTGATAAAAAGGTCTATTCAATGAAAAATAAAATTTCTACTATTATCCTGACTATTCAATTGTGATGTTACACCAGGCTTTTAAAGCCTGAGCATCAAATGCTGTTTGCTGGGTGAAAACAGCAACGCTGACCCCATTTTCATCTTCAGGTAATGGGAAAGGACACTCGGGGAAGGAAGCACACGGCCTGAGGTGCTCTGCTCAGGGGCCGGGCACCTCACCAAGGAGAACACCGCTTTAAAACACGCACTGTATGCATGTTGTAACTGCACGATCATTACTTTTTGGTAACTTGGCAATTAACTTCCGAGGCAATTTTTTTTTCATGATAACTGCAGCCACATTTCCCACACACATTACCTCCTGTGTCTAGAATGGAAATCTAATTACTCTGTCCTGGAAAACTGCTTTATCTACCTGCAGGCTAGAAACTGCATGATAAATCCAAAAAGATAACCACCAAAACAGAGAAGTCATTCAGTAACCATTTTTCAGCAAACAAAATGAATGTCTACCAAGAAAAATATAGCAATTATGCCTTCTCAAAAGCCACATGGACAGAAAAAAATAATCATCAAAATAAACCTTTGGGGGGTGGATCTGAAAACAGTTGAAATACAGCTGAATTGCAGTCCTTCCCTTCTGCATGTTAAGTGGTAACCAAAATAATCATCTCACCCTTGCTTCTCGGCTCCCGGACAAAAGTACCAATCTACTGTGGGCTCTGGGAAGCCTGCTGCCACACACTGGAGCATGCCGTTCGCGAGGCTCTCGTGAGTCAAGATTTCTGGTTTTGCTGCAGGAAGAGAAGTTGGCATATGTCAGACAGCTGGAGAACGTCACCGAGGGGTACCCACTCTTAGAATCCTCAGAACCTTCTTGAGGCTGAAGAAGACCCTGGGGAACGCGTTATTCGAGGGAGAATCTGAACCAGGCTGGAAGGTACGGGGGAGGGGGTGTGAGGGTCGGGCCAGGAAAGGCTTCCGCAGTTCGAGCTGCCCACCCTCAGACGTGGGGGTCCTGAGAACTCCCGGCTCCGGGGATGGCTGACGTGGAGGGCACGGAACCACCTGGCAGGGTTTTAAAGGTGAAAATTCTGTTGCAAGGATTCCTGACATCAGGATTTCAAGTTATTGTGGGGACTGGAATGAATGGACACAGGAAAAGCAAAGCCCTGCTCTCTCTCCAGAATTCCTTCTTTTTTGGAGGGGGAGGAAAAGTGATAATAAGATACATAGCTGGATCAGCCTTTTCACAGAAAACCCCAAACTAGGAGCAAAATACAATATGAGCTTTTAACTCCAAATTTTTATCCCAGATGCAACATTCTGACAGAAAATTAGAGGAGGAAATCAGCCCCAGAGTTTTATTTATACATATATCTAAACCTGAGTACAATCACCAAAAAAATAAATTATATCAGCAGGAAGGCTCTAATTTGACGTTTCTGTGTAACTACAATAATCAACGGATATTCAATCAAGGGTGCCCTAAAGCACTGCATTCTTGAGATTACTTCTAAAGTGGAAGGCAACGATCTTATGATCAGTTGTTCTATTAGTAATGTATGTGAAGGAGTTTAACCCTTTGAGAACGAGTAAGCTAACCTGTAAATATCTGAATGGCAAGGTCAGGGATGCGCTCACCCTGGATCCTCGATACAGCATCATGCCCAGCCTGGCACAGAACTCGGGAGGCCAGGTGCGTGGTAGACAAACCCGCACACCAGCTCCAACTTCGCCAGTTCTGTGCCCTCCATCAAGTCTCCTCACGCGTAAAATGGGTCATTAATCAAATAGTACCCATTTCATAGGGGTGTTGACAATTACATGAGATGGAGCACAGGATGATTCACAGAAATAAACGAGAAACTAAGAACACTTTGCAGAAATGAAACAATGATCAATCATTCAGTCATTCTTTTCTGTTCAGAGTGTCACCCTCCTTGGTTAATCAAGTTTGCTACTAAGTTCACTATATTTGCCACTCTAAAGATTCTCTTCCACGATCCAAGTATTGCTTCTTTAAAATAGTGTGAAATTGTGTATGTTTTAATCTGATAAATTGGGAATCTGACATCAATTATGTTGCAACTGATAGGAAAACTCTGTATGGTGAGAAGGAAAGACCGACAGATCAGAAGCTTAGGAAGCTTATTTCCTCAAAGGAAGGTAACACTGATAAATGACATCTTTGTAGAACAACCTCTCAGCACCTCACCTCCTTGCATGCAAAACAGCTTGGCAGGGATCAGAGTGTCCACATGCATGGCACACCCACCTGTCACTCGACCTGGCCCTGCTGATGGGCTGGCCATTTGGCTCAACACACAAGACAGCAACACTCCAAAGCAATCTCAAGGTAGGGGCATCCTTGAGAGTTTGGACCCAATGCCAGCTTTCACAAATAGAGCAAGAAAACGAGCCTTCGCCTTGCGAAGGCATCCATCTGGCAAGCTTCATTTAATTATCATGGGCAACTGTGTGATCGGACTGGAAAGTAGGACATAGCACACACAAAAGTGGAACTTTTGGAGAGTGCTATTGGCTGGAGACTGCAGGTGCCATTCAGTGGGTCTCTCTGGATTCAATCCAAGCCATCTTCGACTCTCCAAAGCCAAGGTGGTGGATCCCTATTCCTTCCTCCCACAGCTCGGGAGAGCACCTGACAACTCATGCAGTGCCCCAGTCTGAGTGCCCTACCACACTGCGGGTTCTCAGGGCAGGAGCCAGGTCCTACCGGTTGAACCTCTGACTCCTAGCAGAGTCTGAGCTGGGGTGGGCACAAAGTAAGAGCTGCTGAATGGCTGCTCCCCTAAAGGAACAAGCCCCTCAGACTCCAAAGGAATTGAATTAGAGTCACAAGCAGGGACCTGGAAGAACAGCCTAATGGCGACTTCCCTCTGTAGGGGCACTATTTCCAGTACTTTTCAAAGGCAAGAAGCTCACCCACATACTGGGACATGTGAATTCTTTTAATACTGAGATTAATGTTGAGAGGGGAGGATCCACACCACATAGACAGCAAAGACCACTGGACATGACTCAAAGGGGAATGAGTTCATAAGACAGATCTCACACCAATATTCCCTGCGTCACTCATTCTTCCTACAGCCACATGATGAATCATTGATTGATTTATTTGTTTGTTTATTAATTGCAGATGTCCCTCCTTTCCCCCCAACACATATGATGAATTTTAATGGAATTGACTCAATAGGAAAAAAAGGGCTGAAAGGATACCTTAAGATGTTTAACAATGGTTATCTCTAGGTAATAGGGTTATGGATCGTTCCTATATTATTCTTTTGTTTTTTAAAAACTTATTTAAAGAAAATTTTTTTTTGTTTATAATAAACATGTAGCTAATAATAAACTTTTAAAACATTTTTTAATTTGAAAAATTGGAACAGCTCAAAATTATATAATCCATCACATTTCGCTTTGGTTACAAGCACTCCCGGTCCAAGCCTTCCAGCGTGACACCTGGTAGTAGTTATGCAACAGCCGGGCTGGCCTACTTACTCCCGGGTACTGGTTAATTAGGCAGATTTTTCGGCTACTGTCTCAGTCATAACCTGAAGCTAGCGGAGCAGCATTTGTCCTGTTGGGCCTTAAGTTGGTCAACCAAGCTCAGAGGGTCCTCAAACTTCAGTGTGCATTAAAAGCACTAAGAGGTTAGAATGCAGATTCCTGGGCCCAGCCCATGGAAATTTAGTAGGTTGAGGGTCTGACCTAGCAATGTGCTTTTTTAAAGTATCTTCGAGGGACCCTTGATCAGGTTGGAACTAGGGTGAGGCAAGAAAGGCACTCAGGATGCAGAATTTAAAAGGGCACTCACCCTCGAGGCCCTGCAGGTACAGGGTTGGCACCAAGAGTGAATACTTCCTTGAATTTTGCACCCTAGGTGCCTCTCTTGTCTCACCCTTAATCCCAGCCCTGTCCCCAATGTTGGTGATGAGGGAACTCATTCTGAAAAGGCTAAGCTGCACAATTACAGCATGGGCAGTATATGACAAGTCGCACTATGAATATGTTTAACGCATAAAGAATAATCTAGGTATAAGTCTGATTCCTGAAAATAAAAATCTGGGCTCATCTGCATTTTGTAAGTGTCTCAAAGCACTGTGTAAGACATTAAATATACCTTTTACTTTTAAAGATACAGGACCCTCTGCAGCTCTCCAGGTTAAATCTAAGCTATGGTTTCTTAGATATTCTGCAATCAGCAGGATACCAAATGACACTTTCCTTAACTCCTCCCAAGTTGGAGGTTTAGATATGCCTAAGAGTTGTATAAGTTATGTGTTTCCTGTGAAGACAAAAATAGCCCCATTTCTCCTTTCAAAGCACGATGGACCTGAGTCATTCTGGAGTCTCCAACGACATCGATCAGCCTCTAGGCAGATTTGAGAGAGCTTATAATTTCTACTAACTTATTGCTCATGCAATTAAAAATCCGAATCACTCGCTGACTTAAGCCTCCAAATAATAAAAGATTAAACAAAAAGGAATCATAAAGATGAATTTTTAAATTAGATATAATTGACATATAACATTATATTAGTTTCAGGTGTACGACATAACAATTTGGTATTTTTTATACTGCCACAGTAAGTCCAGTTAACATCTATCACCAGTGACAAAATTTTTTTATCATGAGAACTTTTAAGATCTGCTTTCTTAGTAGCTTTCAAACATGCAGCACAGTATTAACTATAGTCACCATGCTGTACATTACATCCCATGACCTACATATTTTATAGTTGGAAGTCTGTGCCTTTTAACTACCCTCCCCGCTCCATCCATTTTGCCCACCTTCAACCCCCCTCCTCCTGGTGCTCACTAGCCTGTTCTCTGTATCTAAGTTCACTTTTTAAAAAATATTCCACATGCAGGTGAGATTCTATGGGACTTGTCTTTCTCTGTCTGACTTGTTTCACTTAGGATAACACCCTTGAGGACAATCCATGTTGTTGCAAATGGCAAGATTTCATTCTCTCCTATGGCTGAATAATATTCCATTGTACTTATACCCCACATTTCCTTTATCCATTTATCCGTCAATGAACACTCTGGTTGTTTCTGGGATGAACTTGGTTTTCTGACGGTAGGCCTGCTGGTGTTTTATGGCCATACAGCAATGCTTCGTAGCAATCTCACTATCCTGGGTTTGCGTCTGAGTCAAATCTACATTCCTGCCATGATACCTTTATAATAAAGAAACTTAATGCTGAACTAGGAATATAGAAAAACTCAGGTTAACTTTTATTTATAAAAGGAATATTATATTTTTTTAAATCCCCAAAATAGATATTTTGAAAACTTATTTTGTTTTGTACATTCTTTTTTTTTTTTTATCCTCACCTGAGGATATTTTTCCATTGATTCTTAGATAATATGGAAGGGAGGGAGGCAGAGAGGGGAGGGGAAGAGAGAGAAACACTGATGTGAGAGAGACACATCAATTGGTTGCCTCCTGCATGGGATCGAACCTGAAACCCAGGTACGTGCCCTTGACTGGAATCGAACTCACGACTCCTCAGTCAATTGGCTGATGCTCTAATCACTGAGCCAAACTGGCCAGGACATTTTGTATACTCTTAAAGATAGCCAGAAACTGGCATATGGACACTTGAACAGAAGTTGTTTTAACAAACAAAACAAAACTTCAGCTGTAACCTCCTGTGTCCCCAGCTATCTCTAACAGAGCATCTACCATTTCAAAAAATCATTCTCTTAAGGAAGTGATATTCTAAACTAGTGGTGAGCAAACTTCTGATGTGAAGGAGGAATC